TGGACTAAAAGTTGGCTAGACACCGTGGACTTAAAAAAACCCCACACTGTATCTTCCAGGAACTGTACGTCTTGAGGTACACTACAGCAACGTGCCCCAAGCTAAAGAGCCAGTTCTGAAAAGCTACAGCTTTATTATTTAACGCCAATTTACCAGCTGTCAGATGCTGAATTCACATCAAACTTAACTCTTAATGGAACAGCTGCCTTAACTACATAAACTGCAAAACTCTCCCACAGGCCTTCTGAACGGAGCTTTGTGTTTAAATATACTGCAGAAGTCACTATGGACAAACCCTCTGAATTTACTTTAAAGATGGAATATAAATATATGGTAATATATATATAAAAATATATATATAAATATGTGGTAATATCAATATAGCCTCACCATGTAAAATATTTCTTCAGAAATTGCTTTTTAAGACAGAAGCTCAGGGAAGATTCCTGTTTGTATGCTCACAACCGTATAATGTGCTGCTATTTAAGGTCCTTTCCAACCCAAACCATTCTATGATTCTATGATTCTATTCTACTTGCTTTAACAATAACTAAAACAAAAACTTATTTAAAATCTTGAATAGTCATTTGTTTGTCTCCTCCCAAAAGGTCTGTGTGCCCTCCGAAAAAAATTTCCCTGTTCAATAACATGCCGTAGCTATATACATACTTTACTTTTTTCTTCATATTGCCGCCTGGATTCTGCCAGCTGTTCTTCTAACTCTAAGAGCGCATCCTTCAGGGTATCTACTTGGTACATGAAATTTGTTTTTTCATTGTCTAGTTGAGCATTTGACACCATAGCCTTTTTATATTTCTCTTCAACTTCAGCTAGAGAGTCCTGCAAAGAATAAGTACCCACATTCAGAGGCAGTTAGGAAGGACACTTTGCCAACCAAGACCTTCAACAAGAAAATTAAGTACATAAACAGACGCATGCTGAGTACTCCTGCAGAAACCAGTGCTAGTCACCTGCTAGAGAGGCTTACCAGCTGTCCCGAGGTGAGGATAACCTCCCCTGTGTCTCCATCAAACTTCTTTTTACAAGGAAGGAACCTTACCTCAGCATGGACAAAATGTTCTCTGCTGCTTCAGCTTCTGCCTTCTGAGTCCACATCCTTTTCCCTCCTCCCCCTGCGCCTGCACACTGGCAGCTCAAAGCAGCTGCTGAAGATGACAAGTTGGATTTGTTTGTTTTTTTTTTTTTTAAGGTAAACTGGCCTTGATTTGAGATCATTTTAGATGATCTTAGGCCTTTAACTAAGGCAGTTTGAGAGCCACTTCACACCGATCTCAGGGATCCTTGCAGTGTGGGAACCACTAAATGTCAGGACTCGGAATTTGCCATGAAAAAGCTGCAGCTTTCATGACCTGATGTATCATTTTTCATTAGGTTTCCCGTATCACATCCCTTCTTTACCAGTTTACTCTGTAAGATTCAATTCCCAGAGTCTCAAAAACCCCTGCTATCAACTTAACCCGAAAATAAGATACTGAGGTATTTATAACAACAGATGATGGCAAAATAAAGATCAGGATGATTTTCCGTGTTGTGCCATCAAACGTTGCAATATTTGATTTTTATTGAGAAACAAGAGAGTTACATGAACAAAACACTGCAAATATGCAAACAAGGAGGACGCTCATGTCAACATCTTAGTTTACAGAGCGAGCAATTTCTCTCTGAACTTAACTCTAATAATTACGTCTAAAGCATAGGTGAGTTTCATATACTTCCCTTTTCATTCAGTCAACGGAACTGACTGATGACAGCGGTCAGATGATGACAAAATTAAGTTTGCATCAGTTTAGTTTACATTTCTATTGACAAATAATTTGTCTTTAAGGACACAAATTTGTACCGTTCCAAACAGAAACTGTGTTTTGGTGTATTTTCCAGCCCAAGGATGAGAAATAACAAGCAAAGGAAAGCCACCAGGATTTGGGAACAGTGGCAGGATCAAACCTCAGAAATCAGCTGGAAAGGAAGTATATGCAGGTGAGGAGTTAAGGCAGCTGCTGCACCACCCCTTCCACATGCTACATTTTGCTTCCTGAGCATCAAGCAGTGTGGCTAAAGTACAAATCAGCACAAAAGGCAGTCTGAGGGACACAAATTGAAAAATTCCCTACATTTTTATTGCAGTGTGATTATTTTGCTACACTTGCTACACAGTGACAAGGGGAAAAAAAGAGTTAGGCTTTCCAGAAGGGCCAAACTACTCTTTTTCCATCGAGAACTCACTTAAGGTCGCAGCATCGTCACCTGTGACAGCACTGAGCCAACGACACAGTCAGCAATTAATGCTGACAAATGTTGCATTATATGCCTGGATGGCTACATATATATTTTGCAAGACTGCCTTTTCCAAAAAATGCAGCTCACAATGCTGCTCACGTATCAGGGGATGCTATGTGGACACACAAGTTAGTTGTTGCACAAAAATTCGTTTATGGCTTCATGAACTAGTGTGAGCATTCATTCTTCATGTAGCAAGCTTTGTTACGTGAAGTTCTGTTATATGAATTGTTTAAGGGTGTCTTCTGCGATCTAAACATGAAACCAAAACGACAGTCACCACCTCACATGCCCAACATTCCAAAGGCATGCTGGACCATATCGGAACAAAAACATACCAGCTTTTAAACTCTGATTCAAGGTCAGAACAAATACTTTTCCAGTTAATGAAATGCTCGTCACACATGCAAGGTTAGTTCTGTATCTCACACTGACTCTCTGAATGTTTAGCTGGTGTTAATGATCACACTCCAGGCTACAGTAAACAAGTACCTTCATTTCTTTTAGTCCCTGCATGTATTTGCCTTCTACATCCTTAATCTGGTCCTTTAGCTCATAGATATCCTGAGGGAAACGGTGAGAAAGGTGAAAGATGCCACTGAAACTAACAGGCAGAAGTACAGCTGATAGGGAAAAGCAAGTATCCCAAATTCTCATTTAAATATTTCTACCACACAGGTTAAGCAGCCTGATCCTAACCTGAAGCCTGGACAGATAATGAAATTTCTTACTTGGAAGCTTATGCTGATTTTGCTCTTCATAACTGGAAAAAATGAAATCTTCAACGTTAAGGACAAGATGCAAACACAACTTCAAATCCTCCAGCAATTACATGCCCCCGTCACACAGCCCTTCTCTGCCCCTTTCACTGAGTATCACCCTCTTTGAGGAATGCTGGTATTAAGGGTAAGGGCTTCCAAAGCCAGTCTGAAATACAGGCTGTACTAGAAATGTAGGAAAGACTATGAAAACCGACCGTTACACTAAAATTAATTCTAAGTCCTACTTCACTGTGTCTCTCCTCTTTTGTCCTTGGTCCCCAGCAAATGGCTATCTTTCAGCTGTTTTACAGTGCTGGCACCGGGACAGACCTGCTTGTATCTGAGGTCCTCCTACAAATTCCAGATGTTTTACCTGGCTGTAATTTCAGAAGTGTTGTAAGGTGTATGCAGGAAAGTTAACAGAATTCAGATTCCCCACTTTAAAATAGTCTTCAGATTGGAGCATCAAAAAACAGATTACAAAAACCAAGTTAGCTACGGACTACCCAGACTGGCACTCGATGATACGAACACTGGATCGCACAACTACTTGTATTCAAATATGTCTAACTTCATGGTACCGCAAATTAGTTTACAAAACACAACCTCCTCCCCAAATTAGCATCCAGTGAGTGCAGTACTTCTTGCAGTATTTCAATCTTCCCATCAGTGTGCTACATTGAGTACATGTCCTACTTCATGAGGTGAGGATGAGATGTGTCTATGATGATCAGTCTGATCTGTGTCACATGCCGTAGGGCTTTGCCCAGACATCCCCACAGTACACACCAGCTCCCCAGCAGCGTCTCTCTCCTGAAGCTATTCACTGTTCATTCACAGCACACAACTCATTTTGTCACAACGGCCAAAAGGGGGAGACAAGACAGTTTCTTTTTTCAAAAGAAGTCTAAAGCATACTTAATAATATCATTTAGATAATATTAGTCTCCTTCATAATAATGCAGGGGACAGTCCTTGTTAGTATTAACCTGTCAGTCCCAATTCCTACTGCCAATTTCTATAGTCACTAGTGGGAACATCAGCAGTACTTTCAAGTGATCTTGTAGTTCAGTAATTTATCAAATGCAAGGCATAAAAACATTCTAATCAAAAGAGCCAGAGTTAAGAGACAGATTTCTAACCATTTATGCTGGTTTTAAGTATTTCTTACCTTAATTTCTCTAATAGAAGCTTCTGTATCAGCTGAGATGGATGTATCCCCACTGCCTCTTCGTGAAGAAGTCCCACCCAGAGACGCTAAGGTAGCTGCTGATAAACTTGAAACAGTACGAGCCCCCTACAATCACACAGTTAAACAGGATTGTAAGTTTATTCCAGATACGTTGTGGGTCTGTAGTTTGGTTTTTTGAGGGTGTTTATTTGTTGTTGGTTTTGTTTGCTTGTTTTTGGTTTTTAAATACACACATTATACCAACCCTCGCACTTCAAAATTATGCAAATTTGATTAAAATATAACTAAGAATAAAAATCAAATAAGATATAACAAGGGAAACTAACGAGAAAAGGCTGAAGGGATGCATTTAAACACTACTGAAACATGAGTTTGCATGGCTCAGCTTCTAACTATTGATTCTAAATTAGACCAAGTCTTTACAGGCTAGTATCATCCTGCCAGATATTTTCAAAACTTGTAATAATACATTTTGTGGATGCTTCTGACTACCCCTCAAGCTCCTCTCCTTCCATGGATATTTATTTATTCTGCAGCAGCAGCCACATTAACTGCTTTAGTGTACTGAGGGTTCTGCATCAAGCCAATTTCTCACTACTGCAGTATCTGCCTCTTTTTTATTATTATTTTTACATAATACCATCATTAAAGCCTAATAAACAAAACCAGTATTCATATGGCTTAGCCTAAAGCAATTTCAGCCAACTGCTAATGAAGGTCAACTACTTAACCTCTGAATAACCACAGAGGTTTAAAAGTTTGTCTTAAAAAAACCCCAAAAGTATTAGGAGAAGGCTGCAGTAATTCAAAGTTTTGCCTCATAGTGGATTTTCTAGAAGATTTCTATACCCTCACTGTGAGTTCTACCTACCAAAAAAGAATGTGAAGAAAGTCCTATTGGCAGAATAATTCAGAATATCCTTCTTACCTTCTCAAAGTCTTTTTCTGGCCTTTCCTCAATCTGTAAAACAAAGATTTAGAAGCAATTGTTATACAATAAAGGACAAGTGAAGGCACCAAGATATCAGAAAGGGAATTCTTAAACCTGTAAAAGACTTCAACAGCAAATTTTATACACTCAAAAAGCAACCAGATCGCTCAGAACAGCAGCATCCTGGCTGGCATGCCAGTGCGCAAGGCTGCACGATTCACCTCAAATTTCTAAGCAGTACGTAATTCAGTGGAATATACTTATTGATTTAAAAAAAATTATTAAATCTATTAACCTGTCTATTAAATAAGACAGAGAAATACTTTATTTTTTTCCCATGTTCTACATGACAGTGTTTCAAACATGGAGATGGCTCTCAATCTATGAGTTAACAATGCAAGAATACACAGACCTCCACCGGCATGAACTTAACAGCCCCAGATGTCTTTCTCTGGACACAGAACCAGCTGTATGCAACTGCTGTGCTGACTGACATATGCAGCCACTCCTCTTAGAACAATTTAAAAATAGACCTCAAATGAACCCAAAATAGAAACTTGAAATTAGAAATAGAGAGGTTAAGTTTTTAAATTGAAAGATCAATAGATTTCCAGAAGATAGCTTCTTGAAGCTACACTTTCTGTGGACCTTCACTAAAAAAGGCGACCTCTGAAGCCTGCCAGCACATCCTCCCCCATTCCAAAAAAGCAAGGTACCAAGTTAGGCTGAACACTGTACTGTGGCTTCACTGCTCCCAAAAGGAGGAGGGGGAAGGGGGAATCTAAAGCTTAAAACTCCTGATAAGTGTTCTCTGCTCCAGACAAAAGGTGACTGACTTCAAGCAAAGATCCAAGAAAGGCTGAGACTACAAAAACTGACACTCAAGTCAAATACTGGGGACCAGTTCAAAGTCTAAATAAACAGCTCTTTTATGGTTTCAGTACATCACTGGAATTTACAAATTCAGAAGAGAGATCCTGAACTAGAACTGGTCTAGAAGAAACAAAACAGAGCCAAAGTAGCATGCCAAAGTACAGAAAATTACCATGGATACAGACAGCTTAAATGCTTAAACGGAAGTTACCGAGCAAAACCCACATACAACCTGAGCAGATCTTTTTTCCTTGACAGAAACCCTCCTATCAACTTTTTCCTGCTCCGAAACTAAACCAAATATACAACTTCCCAAGAGCAGAAATGTAAAATAGTGTCTTTCATCATTATTCACTTTGCTGGGGGAGCATTGCAGTGCATTTCACAAAAGAATCTTTTCATAAGTATCTCCATCTGAAATAGAACTAAGTGTAAAAAGGACCGCATGAAAGGGAAAGCTCAGCAGGACTAAAAAAGGCCAGAACACGTCAGCATCTTCTGGGAATGCTCAGCACCACGGTCAAGAGCCTTCTAGAAAATGAATGGCTTCCCCAGTTATCAAGAGCGTAAGAGCCAAAGGGAAAAATGAGTGAAAAAAAAAATCAGGAGAGATCCAACTCAGAGAAAGGCAGGGGATAGCTGAGGTTAAGTTTATAAGTTTCATTGAAAACATACTCCAAAACTACATCTCCTTCCAATCAGCTCACATTTGGTATAGGGGTTTCTTTTTTCTTTGAATTACACGGAGCAATGTGTGGGTGATCCAACTTACTATTTTTTCACATTACCCACAGCATCCTAGGAAAAAAAATCCCAGAACTGAAAGGTACCTATTACAAATCAGCTTTTTACACGGACAATACATCTCATAAATTCCCTATGATTAGCATTAAGAAAATCTAAGACTTTGGCTTTGAAGTAAAATTATTTGGACTTAAAGCACTAGATACAAACTTTGCAAAGACACTGAATACACAGAGTACTTAGGGGGACGGAGGGGGGAGGAATCTCTGAATTCAGATGCAGTAAGAGAAGGTCACTAACAAAGGCAGATACTTCAGTTCAGACCCGAAACGCAAGACGGACTAACTTTTGCAAACAGCCTGTTATTTTCACGCCAGACAGCTCCAAGTGGTGGATTTGGCAGCCTTCTAGCCCAGCCAAATGCCCTTTTGTTGTTTATAAGGACAATGGTGGCAGTGTAGATACTGATGTCTTACCAAAGATGAGTGTATACACATACACACAAAAATCTACCTCCAGAAACTTATGTACAACAGCCTGTTGTGAAGTCTATCTTATGGGTTCAGGGCACAACTCCAAATATTATTTTCCTTAAGCCATTTGCAGAATGACGTCTGTTTTCTTAAAAAACGTGTCATCTCAGTTCTTAGTAAGATAAAGAAGGGAGCAAATATTGGTATTGCTGTAATGATGCCTCACATGAGTTAAATAAAAAGGGGAAAGTGTCAAAGACAATCCAGTGAAAGACATGTATATGGTGGACATTACTACTCAGAGCACTCATAACCACACCTGTGAAGCTTCCTACACATTTATTGTAAAACAACCTTTAATAATTCTCTAAGGCAGCATAGCCTTTAATAATTAAAGCTATTAAGTAACTTCTAAAATTGAGGTGGTTTAAAAAAAAATACAGATTTCATTTTCCCCAGCGATGATCTCATACATACATCCATTTGGTGCCATGAATGGAATAGTCGGAGCATTTTCTCCTCAAAACCAGTCATTACCTCTACCAATTTATTTAAATATTAACAATTCAAAAATTTAATCTGTTCTGAGAAAAGCCAGCTCCTCATTCTAACGCAGCATCCTTTCATTGCAAAGATGCCTCCACACAACACTTCACGAAGCAAAAAGCCAGTCTGAAACAAGCAGCGCTTAATTTTATGGTTACACGGCAGTGATACACCATAAGCTGTAAGGAGTGTCTTGTAGAAAGACAGCAGTCTATTTTAGATAAATATTTTATAGAGTCTTCATTCTGCTCATCTCTAGATTAATGTATTCCCAGCATCACTCCTTTAAAAAGAGACATCATGCTTTCCAACAGCACTCAGCCACCAGAGGGAACTCCAGGTCTTCAGCCTTCACCCGCTCCCGAACAAGCCCTTTGGCATTTGATCCAGTAAGAGATAAAACAGAGAAAGGTCAGGAAAAAAAGGTTTCTTTTTATTTCAAAACTCTTGCCCAGAATACTTACCTCCCGCATTATCGTTCAGTAAAGAATACCGCAATGATTACAAAGACTGAAAACAACCTTCACAGTACTACACTCAGCACAGCCCTTCACACAAACACACTGGCTTTGGGACCTTCCCCCATGAAAATAAAAAGGAGTAACAAAATACTCACTAGAAGAGGAGATCTAAAGAGGAATTCACCTAATGATACTGTATCTTTACCATTTTTCATTTCCACAAGGGTGTGGGTCTGTCTCTAACCACACGTTAACTTCCTCTACACCAACAATTTGGGCAATTTGTACTTGAGTGCATAAAAAAAGCAGGAAAAGGAAATAATTTTCCGAGCAACTCCAGCATGCAAATCTTTGTTTTGGCACGGAGAATAGGTTGCTTTCTGCAAAATAAGTACAATGGGATCAGAGTTCAGCCTCTTCTGACAGCAACTTCGGAATAAATCCAGAGCCACGTTACAAAAATGTCAGCAATATCAGAGGCTTACCGCAGCTGGAAACTTAACAAGAGCAAAATCATGCCACAAGCCTATATATGGATATATTGCCTATTTTTCATAGATAATAAAAACATTTTAGTACAGTATTTAAAAAAGTACTTCTCTCTACTCTGCAGACAGCTAGTAACCCTTGAAGCTCTCTGCCACTGGTGAGTGTCGAGGCCAAAACTAGAGCCCCTGCAGCGTGATCAGAGTGCATCCAACAAGACAACTCTCAAACACCTACGGAAGAGACAGGACACCCTGGGACAGTTAAGCATTACACCCCAGTGCCAAGTAAAGAAAGAAATAAATTATTCAGGTCTTTAAATCGATGGAGGAATCGGCACTAAGGCTCGATTTCCAGCTTCCAGCCTGCAAGGCTAGAGCGGAAGGGGAACACAAAGCGCTTGCAGTGGGGTAGCACCGCATACCACCCCTGGGTACGAGAACAACTTCAGCGTGTTCAGCACATGGCTGTCACTGCCTCAGCTTCATCTAGGATCTTGCACCTAGATCAGCTTCCTCATAAAAGCAAGGGACTTTTTTTGGTGACAAATCAAATTAAGATCATTTCCTGCTCTTAAAGGAGTACAGCACAGTGTGAAATGGAAATATGTCCCACACTGAAGAAAACTTCTTGCAATAGGTATAGCTGAACACAGGATGGTATCTACAAAAACTGGAATTAAACGAGAAGTACTGCAGCCAGCATAACCCCTCCTACGATCCCCCTCTTACCGGTTTGATCAGCTGGGCTGGGGCAGGCAGTAACACAAAGGGTTCCTGTGCGTTTTTCCAATGAGAGCCACCTTAACACTGGCAATTAGCAATAAGCCGGCAGGGGAAAACCACTGCTGAACTTTGTCAGGTCTAAAGTGGATTTGTCAGAAGAAGTATCCTTGCTCAGGAATGAGTGTTATGCCAAACGTCACTGCTTAAACAAACTTATCAGTCTCTGAAATGCAAGTTAGCACTGCAGCAAATCCTCACCCCAGGGGGGCCAAGAGCACACCCAGGCTGTCAGGGCTGGGCGAGGAGACAAGCCTACGCTGAATCCCTCACTGCAGAGGAGAGACAGACGGCAAAGCTCGAGCACGCTGATAACTGCTTCCATGAAAACTAAGTCTGTCTTCCATTTTTTTTTCTGGTGAGAACACTATAAGCTTCTTCAAATGAAAAAAGCTATTCACAACGGAGCATTAATGTCAGACCCCAGGACTGCGCGCTTGCTAAGCGGCACTTGTGTTTCCAGTCTCTGACTTTGTACCAGCCCCTCTGCGTGCCCACGGTGCTCGCTGTCTGAGGCTCCACAAGAAGGGAGAGAGGAAATAGGAAAGATCATAATCTCACAGTAGAAAAACCTGCCCTCTCCTGTTATTTTGCCTTCCTTTGCTCAGAAAGTCTTCAGATTCATACTATTGCATTTTCTATTTAAAATGTACAAATAACTGCTTTTCACGAGGAGTTTATTAATTTAAAAAAAAAAAAGAAATTCCATCAATTCATATTAAAAAGCCCATCTCAGCCAAAAGATGTAACCAGCTCAGGCACAAGATTTACCTCCATCTGTGCAGAGAGGCCTCATGTTTGCCCTCAGCAGCCTTCAGGTCTGTACTTTATATCAAATATAATGCTTTAATATTAAACAACACAATTGCACTGCTGCAGTAACTGCAAGGACAGCAGACAATAATTACTAACAGGGATCATGAGAAAAAAATTAAAGAAAAATAATCAAGCAGCAAACTTCATGCAGATATACTGAATTCTTCAAAATACACGTAAAGACAAATGAATAATCACATGTTGTGTTTCAGTATCTTCCTGCCCTTTACTGTCTTACAAACACGATAACACAAATGAGAACACAGGCTGGAAAAGCTGTGTGCACCAGGAAAACTATGTCTGCTTTTTGCTCACCGCTTACTGAACAGGGATAGAAGGGAGAAACAAAATTCTGAGAAAAGATTTAAGGGCTGCAGTAACAAGAGACCGTATGCTTTCATTTAGAAAGTTAAATTCAATCACTCCTTGTTCTCAATGTATAATTTCTCATGATAGATAGTCAGGCTTGGGAGCAGTTCAGTTTCAATTTTCTGCCTAACAATGCCCATAATCATAACAAAATCATATTTAACCTCAGTGTTAAGCACTCATCATTTCAGTACATGGATTTTGTAAGCTATCATGCTCTCAAATGACATAAGCATGCTGGAAACTCAGCTTTTCAACCCAACAGATACTCTCCTTTCCTTGCTCCCTGCCAGCCATTTAACAAGTAAACTTGGAATCAAATCTTTCTCCGTGTAAATGCCAGAAGATACATAAAAGCAGATGCAGGAAAACATATGGCTCGATATATTAAGGCGGGGAACAGCTCAGGTTTGGGGGTTAGCAATATTAAGACAGTTCTAACGTAGACCACTGATACAGACAAAAACAACCGCTTTCTTTCTCTCGTAAGTTATCACCAATGTCCAAGGAGATTTTTATTCTTCCTTTAGGAAGTCCAAGCAGATGACATTTCGGGCATGTATGAGTGGAAGTGATACACTGTTAAGCCGCCTGGGGAGACAGCTCTATTTCAGCATCGTTACTGCCAAGATCAAGTACCCAGCTGCAAATGTTATCAAAACGCCTCAAATCCCCTGTTAGTAAAAGGCAAGGCAGGTGATTCCTTACTGTGAGTTACATGAAATGGTGTTGTCCATTTAACATAGGAAAAAAACAAACCAAAAAAACAAAAAACCACACAAGGTGCTTCTGCATTGACCCCACGTAGTAATGAGAACTTCTAAGAGCAACACCACCTCATTAACAAGGTTTGTACTACCTTGCATTAGGAGAAGCAAAACCCCGGCATTGGTGCCTTTTAGACCCACTACAGTGTTACCTCTCAGCTCATCTTGAAGGCTATGGAAGTATCTGAGCCTCTTCACACCCCGCAACAAACCACTAAGTGTAAAAAAAAAAAAAAAAGTGCCTGTTGTCTCCTTGCAGAGCAGATCCAACTTGGCGCCTCTCCACCATCGGTGCTGATGCAGCTAACCATCCCCAGCCACTTGCATATAAACAGTCCAAAGCAGAAGCAGAGAATTACACGACAAAAAAATGTCCTAGGACTCCCAGAAGGGACAAGCTGCATTTTGTGATTACTGTAAGGAGCTTGCAGGAATGACTCAGACTGCATACACAAAACCCATAATGGAAACCACCATCAATGTATGGGTACCCAGTTCTTACACTTGAGGAACTTTAATGGAATCCCTAGTTATTCTGATTATCTTTTGCTTTGGGGATAACGGAAATTCAGTCTGCAAAGTCATTTAGGAAGTATTACTAATGTAAGATATATACTGAAAGAACTCATAGCTCAGGGACTCAGATTCGGGGATTAATTAAAATACTGCTTTATTTATAGCTTACTGGCTGTCATACATTATCTGATGAAAATCCTTTTAATTTTTTTTTTTTAAACAAGTGGATGTACTGTTGTCTTTAAGAAACACCAGTACTTCAGAGCACATAGCTCTATTCTGCCAATTCAGTTTTGTTTTGCTCCAGCTGGTTTAATCAGCTCCTTCGAACTCAGAGGGAGAGGGCTCGCTGGATGATCAAAAGGCTCCCCTATTCCCTGCCTGATGACAAGAAGTAACCCTGCACAGAGAGTTCAGGTCCTTTTCACCAGAAGGATGGAGACCTACCGCACAGTTCTGACTGTGGGAGAAAACCCCATAGTGCACAGGTTTCCAAATCCCAGGGTAGGCTTGAAGGGCGAACCAGCATGATGGGGGACATCAGACACAAAGCAATTCCTTACTGCAGGCTATGTGTGTTTACCGAAGAGGAACACTCCAAATGTTCACGTCACAGCTTACCATGTCACAGCTTACTGTGTTGCATGCTGTGGTAGCTTCTTTGACTACCCAGATACTCCTTCTTCATTAGTCTTTAAGGCAACTTTTACAGCATTTAAGTTTCAGCTACTCAGCCAAGCAAGGAAGGCAACAGAATGTTCTGACTAGAGAAGCACGTTGTGTTTGTTAATTCACAGCATCACCCTCCTCATCACTTCCTGTCTTGGGGATGTGATACGTAATAAGCGGCAGGTCACAGAACTAGCATGTTAAAACTTCATTAGGACAAACACTTCCATGAAGCAAAACCATCTTAAAGAAACTCAGAGCAACACTTCAAAACTCACTCTCCGTGGAATACTCATTTTTTTATAGACTAGTTTACTGTAAGCTGCACATTTCCTCTAAAAGAGGTGCTACTGCACTCTGCTACCATCATCATGCTCTCAGGCCTTGCTCTGGAATTAACCAGGAAAGATACTCAGAGCTGTCAACAGCTCCATGGAACAATCTCAAACAGAAAGCATGGATGTGCCATTGAAAAAAATAGAAGACAATTACTTTGTATCTGTAAAAAGCAGGGGAAAAAGTCTCGGTCAGCTACAATCACAGGGGTTGGACAAGCTTTTAGCATTTGAGCCTTGTTCAGACACGACAACTTGGGAATCCACGGTGCTCAACACTCCGGGTACACTTAATCCTTCTGGCACTGCACCGTGCTAAAGACTCAGGTGCCCAGCAACCTACAGTCCAACAAATATGTTCAAATCCAACCTCTGGATAGCCCCGCAGCCTGGCAGCAACACAGCACCAAAATACTGCTGAACAACTACTTGAACGCTGCGGTGAGGTTTATGTCTCCTGATTTTAATAACCAAAGGAGATGCAGCACTAGCATCAACAACCCAGTCTTTTTCACAATACCCTCACCAATGTGCTTTATGCCCAGCTTAGAAAAAATTTAGCAGTCACATGAGTGCAAAGTGTACTTCTATTGTAAAAACACGGGCACCTGCACAAAAGTTACTTTGGCTTGGTAATTTCTCATCTGGTTCACCCCTTCTTTGTCTTAAGCGTTGCCCAGAAGAGCCAATTAATTCCGTAAGAAACTTTCTCATGAGGGACAGCGACCTCTTTGTAACAATAAAGACCTTGAAGAACAGAAGAATTAAGCAGTTTAGGGACAAAGAAAAGAAAAGGAGCTCACCACTGGACTGGCCCGAGCAGAGCTGGCTCTTGAGGATGCCCGAGATCCTGAACCAAGGTAGCAGCTGTATTCGGAAGGCTGCCGCAGGTAAACCAAGAGCAAGCAGAGAAAAGAGAAAAGCATTAGAATTGGGAAGAGCAGCGAGAAAGGATTTAGAGCATTACATTGGAAGTTAGTTACGAAAATGGTTACGTGCAGTTGGACAAAGGAATAGCAGCGGAAGTCAGAGAACAGACACCTTGACTGTTAATTTAAAAAATAAGGCAAGCAGTAATTCCAGTTGACAGACCAAGCAGAGCTTTGATTCAATTCTTAGAATGACAGAACACTAATGATTTATTTCTATATCTTAAGGTACCAGTCACAGGTAAACAACTCTCAGCACAAAAGGTTCAATCCTACTGCTATTCAAGAGCTCTGAGGTTCTCTGTTGAGCCTTCTTCCCATGTTTCCAACACTGAACACATATAAAATGAATCTGTGTTCCACAGGGCAAAGCGAGAAACATCCATCTACATGGTGATTAAAGTAGAAACTGAGACCACCTTAGAGACTGAGTATCAATCCTGCTTTTCCAGCACCTGCAGTCCTCACCTCCTGTCAAAGAAAGTATCTTAGTCCTTCTTAAAAGCAAACAGCTATGCAATGATGCAGAACAGACCGGTCAGACTTGTTGCTGACAAGGACAGAGAATGTGTCTACGTTGGTTTATTTCCAGAGATTATAATTCAGTGGAAGGAGAGAAGGGAAATTAAAAGTTTCAAGTGTTGGGGAAACAGAACTAAAACTTGTTCTGGAAATGCATTTTAGACTTCTTCCCTCTATTTTCACAGATTTCAGAGTAGCAGCTTCACACTCAATCTTGTATTTAGATGTACGTTATAGAAAGGTACATAAGCACACATAAAAGGTACATTCAGAACAGAGGGGAATTAAAGAAGTTTTTGAGGTTTACCACCAGACATTTTTCCTATTGCTACTGCCTCAAGGCAATTGTGAACACAGTAAAGGAGCATGTCAGTCCATCAAACTCCATGTGCAAAAGCCTGCACCGACACAAGGGCACAGGAACGAGCACGCGGAACAGCTCTTCTCAGCAGCTCAGGCCATGCTGCCAGGGACCTCTATGGGCTTATTTCATAGGCGCTTCAGACTGTTCCTCAGATACAAAAACACTGACATCTAAAGACTTCTCCTACTTTTGAACGTGTGTACTCTGTCTTTTTTCAAGGTTTCTTCTGTGAAGTAGAGGAGTGTCCTGGACCCCTCAGCGGCAGAGACAGCCAGGTCTTCCCCAGGCTACGGGAGGGCTGTTTCAGCACCAGGGGTCATGCTAACAAAGCCGCACAGTATTAAATGAAAATTAAGCTTACAGTACTCATAAACGGTTAGAGGGTAAGCTGGAAATAACCCCAGCTACAGTACAACCGTAAGCTTAGCTACTAACCCCAAAGCATTGCGTTCCAAGGCACACAGCCCTTATCATGCCCCTGGAGCAGGGCAGAACATGACCAAGCTGTGTCCCCAGATATCTTGCACGAAGTGACACTGGCTTCATGCACCTGAACTACTGAGCTTCGTGTCAGAGATGAGAACACACAAAATTTAGAACTGCGTTGAAAATACTTGTAACCTGCATGCAAATCACAGCCACTTCAATTCCTGAATTCAAAACAAAAAGCACTCTGGTAAATATTTAGATTTTGTTTTCTTATTAAGTAGTTCTAGCACAGAGGCCTCGTGCCATCACTGGCATTTTAGGTTTAACACAAGGATGTAGAATAAACTTGAAACACACGACCAGGAAAAAGTATTAACTCCTGATGAACCCCATATTGATGTTTCACAGGATCTATTTCCTCCACAGTTGCTTTCTGTGTATTGCAGAGCAGAACCCGTCAGCAAGTGCCGCTTGTTCAGCTGAGACTAGGCACGGCCAGTTTCAGCTCCGCCTGTCCTCCCATCAACCAGAAACACTCTTTGGGGACAGCTACACCCCCTCTAAGCGTTAAAAGCGCCACAAGGTTCAGAGATGTTAAAATAACCACAGGTAAGTTGGTGATTTTGACAAGGCCACTCCCTCTGTTGCAAAAACCTCACACTTCACCACTCTCATTGCTACAGGCAACCGTGCAACAGCAACTGGGAAGGCTGGGCTACGCGCAGGCTCCCAGACACCCCTGGCACAGGGTGGGAAGGGTTGGAGGAGGGGGAACACGCAGCAGCATTCCGCTCAGCGTTCCCTGCTCCAGCCATCCTGCGAGGGGATGGAAGACGTGTGAGCAGCACTCAGGCACAGAGCCCGCTGCAAATGGTTTCTCCCAAGAGCAGCAGGGTATCATTGGACCGGTGAGAGACTCATCTCAAACAGCGGAGGGAGGACATCCCGCAGGGGACAAAGGGCTGCAGCCAGCTCAGTGCAGCCTCAAGGACACATTCACTGAGTGTGGCTGCCACAACAGTCCCCACAGGTAAGTATCCATGCATTTTCCAACACAGCCAAATGAAAACAAGGCACCGATGTGAAACAAAAAGTGATCTGAAGCTTAACATCAGGAGCAGCCTAGTGAATCGGTGTGACTGCAATCAGACGCAGCCCCTCGAGGACTAACAAGCATTCTCGAAGCTTTGTTTCCTGCTCCAAGCTAATAAAATTGTCACTTTTAATGTTAAACCTACATCAATGCTTTGTCTTGAGTTTTGGGTGGTGGTTTCTTGTTTGTTGGGGGGTTTCTTTGGTTGGCTGGTTGGGTTTTTTTCTGATAATCACCGAAGGAGTTCAGAGGCAGAATAAACACTGGGGTCCACAGAGCAGAACTCAAAAAGACTGGTTTATGTTTTCTAGGCAGGTACGACAGCAGCAGATGTACTGCCTGGCCTGAACACCCACCATGACACGGAGGCCCCAGCCGAGAAGAGGTGAAGGCATTTTCTGCCTTCCCATCTGTAAACCCAGTCCTGCAGCCTCTCTTTTTTGGAAGGAAACAATTCATATTGTCATTCCTCATCTTGTCTCTCCTTGTAAATGACAGAGACCTCCACTCACAGGAGCATGTATTTTGAAAACTTTGTCACAAGTTGCCTGAGACATCACTACAAAATATAAATCCAAGAAACAAAACCAAGCAAGCCATACGTCCACAACAATCCTTTACTTCATGCTAGCAGATAAGTGCTAATGGGGAAGTGATTTTACTTATTTATTTTTAAAACCTTGTTTCTTCTCAATTTTCAAAAGAAGAGTTAAGTCTCATTGAGGAAAGGGACTTCATGCACTGCTTTTCCAAGGTGTTTTACCTGCAAACCAAGTGCCGGGCAGAGCTGAGCTCCCCTCGCCGCAGGGAGGCAAGCGCCCAGCACCGGGCTCGGTCAGTGCCGGCCAGAGCCCGTCTGCATGAGGGCAAGATCAATCACTACTTATTATTTCATGGAAGCTCACAGAAATGGTGCTCATCCTTCTGCCTATGGCAGGGGGGGGGGGAACTCTCCCAACCC